TTTTCTCTCGTGCCGCCAGGCTGACTGCCCAGGAGGAGTACCAAGATGTTTGAGCCCCCAAATCCCAGCAGGGTTTTTTTAATCTCCTGGTAAAATACAGGAGAGGGAATGTGCCACCAGTGTGTCACAGAACCACCCATTTCACTGCTGAAGCACTGGCATTATCAGCACACTTAGATAAGATTTGATAACATTGGGCTGCTGCCCCGTGTGGTTCTGTTTGCACCATTTCTCCAGAGCTGTTCACTGAAAACCTGCTGTTTTCCTCTCCCAGGGAGTCAATCTGACAGCTGCCAAGGAGCGGGGGCAGCTGGTCTTCCTGGAAGGCCTCAAGTCCTGCCTTGACCTCGTGTTTGGGGAGGAGGAGGAGCAGCCAGGGCAGCCCAATCCTCTGCTGTTCCTGAGGTGAGCTGAGCCCAGCACAGAGCGTTCCCCCCTGTGTCCTGCCTCCACAGCCCCCAGAGCACCACCGAGTGAGGGGGAACACCAGCACCAGGCATATCCCTGTGCATGTCCTGGCCTGTCCCTCTCTGCTGTCAGAGAGGGAGTCTGTGCCCCTCTCGGGCATTTTGGAGGAATTCCTGCCCCCATCCACACTGCCAGCATGTTACAAGTCTAGAAAAACATTTATTTCAACACTCAGCAGGTTTGTGTCAAACAAAACTCCAGCCAAGTTGTTTTATTCCTTTTCTTTAATTATTTTGAGTTTTGATCTTATCCAAGGGCACAGTGCTGCTTTATCCATGCTGGCTTTGGGTTTATTCCCACTTCACTTTCTTCATGCCCCATGCTAAGCTCAGCAAAGGCAAAACAATTCTCTGGAAGTGTCCAAGGCCAGGTTGGACGGGGTTTGGAGCAGCCTGGTCTAGTGGAAGGTGTCCCTATCTGTGGCAGGGATGGACCTGGATGGGCTTTAAGGTCCCTTCCCATCCAAACCATTCCATGGTCCCTGGGGCCAGGCGGGAGGGTGTCACCACACACAGGGCTAAAGGAGCAGTGACTGAGGGCAGTGCAGGGCCTGGGGACTGTCCCAGCAGTGGGGACAGCAGGGAGGGGACGGGGGGGCAGAGGGCCCCCGTGCTGGGTCAGTGGTGAGCAGGCAGTGCCAGGCCCTGACACCCCCTCCATCTCTTGCAGTGAGAGCCCCTCGGACCTGCGGGCCCTGTTCGACTTGGTGCGCGTGTCCCTGAGTGCCGCGGGCAGCCAGGCCTGGGCGGGCCCCGTGCTGCTGCTCGATGACCTGAGCGTGCTGCTGGGCCTGGGGGCCACGCCCGTGGCCCTGCTGGACTTCATCCACTACTGCAGGGCCCTCGTGTGCTGCCAGCTGAAGGTACTGCTCCCCTGGGCCTGGGGCTGAGCTCCACAGCAAAGCCTGCCTTTGTTTGCTCTTAACACCTGACCCCAGTGAAGCTTTGGAAGGCTCTGGCTGTCCAAGAGACTCAGACCGTTGCTCTGGGGTCAGTCTTTGGGAATTGTGTGAGTCCCTGGAATAGCTGTGCAGCCGGATTCCTGCTCTGGAGCCACTCTCAGGAGTTGTGTGAGTCCCTGAGTACCTGTGCAGGCTCCTGTGCAGCTGGATTCCCCCAGAGAAGGGTTCTCAGTGTCCCTGACATGTGAGCAGGGATTTGAGGTGTAAAATAGTGTTTCTGGGAGCTCCAGGCTCTCCAGAAATCCCAACTCACATCTGTGGTGGGAGGAGGCAGGGAAGGAAATGGGTTATGTGAGGGGTTGGTGACTCTCACAGGGGACAGAAACAAGGGTCCCCTTGGAGGGCACCCCAGTCCCTGCTCCCTCCAACCTCCAGTGTCTGTGTTGCTCCAGCTGGTTTCCAAGGGGCTGTGATGATGTCCAAGATCTGCCCAGTGATGTGCTGACTCCTGGGAGCACCACAGCCAGAACTGGTTCCAGTCCCCTCCAGGCTCTGCCAGCCACACCACCGTGTCCCCTCCTGGGCACTCTGCACGGGGGTGAGGGCTGAAGGCGGCGGTGTGGGGTGGGATGGTGGGGTCATCCTGCCCTTCACACAGCACAGGGTGTTGGGCTGAACCTGCTGACAGGGGGTGTTCTGTCTCTGTGGAATATTTACCTCCAAAGCAGCTATAAAAGATGAGAAACCATGCTAACACTTTTCTATTTCAGTCTGAGGTGTTCTGAAGCTTTCAAGTACATTTTAATTGATTGAGAATTCCATGTTATTTTAAGTCCTTGGTGACTTGCATCGTCTGAGCAGAGACTCTGGGGATGGATTTTAATAGAGTGGGTGTGTTGGGGAGCTCTTTGCTCCTTGTCAGAGTTGTGATTGTGTGAGTGTTGCTGCAGCCCTTCGGCCACCTCTTTATTTACCTGCTCTGAATTCAGTCAGTGCCATCTGCCCAGCCTGACAGACTGGTTTAACCAGACTCTGTCTCATAACAGAGGCTCGAGGTATTTTTAGGCTGCACATTATGTGTGTGTGTGTGTGTGTGCACAGTGCACACACAGCAAGCTCTTCCAGAGTTTATAGGTCATGCAATCACAGAATGGTTTGGGTTGGAAGGGACCTTAAGGATCACCCAGTGCCACCCCCTGCCATGGGCAGGGA